TAATAATAATAATAATAATAATAACAAGTATGATCAAATGCGCCTGAAAAACAGACCAAATTATATTAATTAACACTAAAAGTATTAATTCTTTAGTACGATAAATGAATAATAAAAATCTACTAAAAAGACTATTTATGTAATTCTCCATGCCACAATTAAAGTACTTTGTTCACAAAAACTGAAAATAACTAAAAATTGATTGTGTGACACAGCACAACACGGCGATATGTTGTTGGTTTGCGCATGCCTGATAGGAAATCGAGAGGTTGTGACCAGCTCCCACCGAGCAAAAAGAGAAGGAAATTTTTGTCTCGCAGGGTACTTGATGGTCAAGTTCTCTGTTAACTTTTGTTTGTCTGTTTTCTTTATGTTAGTGCTCCGCTTCTGTTGTCTTTGTGAAGTCTAGTGGGCCAGCCGGGGGAGGGGGCCCTCACATTAGATGAAGACTTACAGGATAAACAATCTGATCTGATGATGCTTTGGGGTAGCCATTTTGAATCATAGTGCGAGGCCAGGAATCGACAAAAGCTGGGAAACCGCACGGAGTTTTAAGAAAATGACAAGTCACTTCATTATTTTCGGTGCACGATCGGGATCAGATGCTCCGAAAATCTCCGAATATCCTCGGCTCTCATACTATGTAAATTTTCCGCTCCATACCTTGCACTGGATGACCATTGATTTACTGAATTGAAAATGGCCGCCGCGAAAAGGAAGACACGCCGATAATAATGAAGATCATGAGCTCGAGATTTCTATGAGGTGCACCTCATTTCTTCAGGATATTGAGTTACGCATGATGGACTTCGCCAATGAACATAAACAATTCCAGTGTTTGCTTTCTGCTACCGCTACTCAAACTGGCACTCTTGGAGAAATGCTGAATGAAGAACAGAGTGGAACAATTGTTCCTTTGCCACCGGTCAAGAGGATTGCTTTAAATGATGATGATCATTCCAAACTTACAGAAATGTATAAAACTTTGCTTCCCAACTGTGAGGTAGTTTCTACTCAAAGACTCTGTGACCGCTTTTCAAGAGTTCAAATCAGTGGTGCAATA